ATGAATTAATGACATGACTCATTTTCCTCTGTTTCTTTTTGATACTGTATTTAAACAGAATATATTTTCTGATAAATATGGTATTTTAAATGGACAACCTTACTTTAAGTTTGAAATTTGATCATCTTGTCGCCAGTGAAGAATTGGCACAATGAATTTTGGGGCGGAAAATCTCTCAAAACACAGATAATTATAATATGTTACTCAACTTTTCAGAAATTATTCAGTATTAAATAAAATTGTTTCTTCAATTTTTTTTTTAAATTGGTAAAAATATTATGCTGTCATTAATTTAAAAAATGCGTGCAAACATCAAACATCAATACACACACAATTAAAATGAAATAAGAATGGCTGCCTGTGTTTCTAGGACAAATTTCCCTGTTTATCTGGCAAAACTCCATGGTTAAGTGTATAATGCAAGATGTGAAGCTCTTTAAAATCATTTTGATGTTTTAATCTCTATTTCAACCAAATATATTTTGTAATAAATCTATTATTTAAAAAGAACAAACGAAATAGATTTTAAATTTGATGATTTTGCCATCAGCAAATTGATGGGTGCTCTACTCGTAGACATTAAAACAATTTATAGTTTTGATTTATGCCAAAATATTCTTGGTAATGTTAATGATCTGTGAGAGTTATGTTTAGGTTGTCGTATATGGTTAATGTTAGGGTTATTTTGGGGGGTTAAATGTAGGGCCAAGGTAAGGCTTTGTGTCAGGATTATATACAAGAAAATGAAAAAAAAAACATAGATATAATTAAGAGACATATTGATTCTATGTTACACCTAAATAATCTTGGAGATGTTAGTATTTGGTCAGCGTTATGCTTCGAGGGGGTGGTAGGTCACAATTAGAATTGGGGGTCGATTTATGTTCTGATTTATCCTTTCTTTACAAAATTTTCAGGTTATTTAAAGTCAGAAAATATGTTTAGATTGTAAAAATTTTGCGAAGGAAATAATACTCATTTATTAATACAAGTCCTACTAATTAACCCATAGTTGTGGGGAGAAGGAGCGGACAAATACCTTTCCCGATGCTATTTGCACATAAGTGAACCCAATTGAAACCAAGCTGTCAGATTTTCAATTTCAAGTCCTTATCGATTACACCACCTGCACAACCAAGTTTACAACACTTGGTATTCACAAGTGGTCACCCATCTCTTATTGACCAGGGTCGATGTTGTTTAACTTTGGTGGCTGTACAAGAAATTGTGTTTCAGTGTGATATGGCTGGAAGAATTAGGGTTTGTGTACCTCTTATGGAAGAGAAAATACAAGAAAAGATCTGTCTGGTTTTGGTTTTGGGTTAGGGTTAGGGTTAGGGTTAGCCTTAAAGTTAGGATTAGTGTTAAGGTTAATATTATATATTGTTGGTCATATTCAGTTGGTTGATCAGGGTAAAGCCCTAAATCCTTACAACTTTTTTTTTAAGAGTATGTATTTTGCTTTTGAAACCAAATTAATTGTTCACTCGCCAGTAATTTACAATCGCCTGAGGAGACGCATTGTTATGTGTTGAAACACAACTAGAATTGTGTAGCGATTTATACATATTTTTTTAATATATATATATATATATATATATATATATATATATATATATATCACCCTCGACTGAGGCGATAATATCATTAAGACTGAATGGGTTATTGAGTGTAAAAGAAAATGTGAAGACATTTGTGACGGCAATAATAGAATAGGCTTCAGCAAAACAGAAGATGAAAAATGTTGCTGCATTTAAATTTCTGAAGATAGCAGGTCACAGAAGCATAAACCCAGAGGTGAGTTCCACATGGGAGAAATTTTGCCGCTGGGTGTTAACCTCTATCTCTATTCTCGGGCTCACATTCTCTGTTGATATGAAGTGGAAAGACTATATTGAACCCATTGCCAGGTTAGCTGCTAAGAAAGTCAGATCACTATATTGGGCAAATTTTTCTCTCTTAATATATATGTCTTCCATTCACCCATGCTTAGAATATTGTCATATGGTCTGGTTGCCCTTCTATTTACCTTGAGCTCTTTGATAAGATCCAAAGAAGAATCTGTATTATTTTTTATCCTGATCAGTTCAAAAAAGTGTCCGGAGACACCGTAAATTTTCAGCTTGTGAAGAAGACTGCCAGACTCTTTCAAATGCTTTCGAGATGTCCAATGCCACGGCTCAGACTTCACCGTTTTAATCTAGAGTGTGATAAACACTTTCCGCAAATATCGTCAGTACATCAGCAGTTGAACTGGAGAAAAGAAAGCCAAATTGGTTATCCGAGAAAAGGCTCTGAAATAAGGGATGATGAACTAATTCAGCATTGATTAGGGATTTTAGGGGTTTCTCAAAAAGAGGTAGAAAGCTAATAGGTGATAGCGTCGGACGGCTCACCAGAGTACTTAAAAACTGGAATGACAGATGATGACTTCCCTCAGGTAGGAAAGCAGGAGACAGCGAACGCATTTAGTATACAGTTTAGAGAGAACAGGAGCCAGATCGGGAGCATACTTCTTTATAACTATTATAGGAATACCATCGAGTCCACATGCTTTGTGGGGAACAACGTGAGAGATGATAGCAGAAACTATGGAAGGGGTTATATACATATCACTTAACACAGACTCAGAAGATTAGAAAGCATGCAATTAATTAATTCTTTATATATATATATATATATATATATATATATATATATATATATATCCCGTCATTTTTTATCGACCTATGGTGGTCAAGTAACTCAGTTCCGAGGAACCGATAACCAGACACTTGCACATATGAGTTGATTATAGTGGTGAAGGCTTTGGGCAAAACCAATCACACTTTTTGAAGAGCCAAACGCACCTCCACAGCTCTTGAATTCAGAGTTGTTCTACTGCTAGACCAGTTGCCATCCAAGGTTATAGAGCTTTTAACAGTAAACACTTCTGTAACACTCCAACAATAATACGTATATTTTTGTTCGTCAAACGTTGCAATGCCTTTTACGTACATACCTCTCTAAAGGTACAATCAGAAGACATTTCCTCAAAAGGTTAACTGATTTTCGACACAATTTATGTATTGCTTGAGTTTATCATTATACCAATATATATATATATATATATATATATATATATATATATATATATATATATAGAGAGAGAGAGAGAAGAAAGAGAGGTAAAAATGGACACCGAGTACAACAACAAACAGCGACAGTCAGTTTCATTCTTGAATGCGGTCTTCAGGCTTGAAAATTGCAGTAAATCATGAAACAGATTGTCGCCACTGTGTGTTGACCTAAACGTCCACTTTTATATTTACATACGTTCTATCTTTGCTACTGAACAATTTTAATAAATACAGCATGCCTTATATATATATATATATATATATATATATATATATATATATGATAAAAATATATTTTAAGGCATGCTGTATTTATGGGTTAATGGGGAAAGAGCGTATGTAAATATAAATTAGACATTGAACTCAACACCTTATAGCGACAATCTGTTTCATGCTAAAACACCGTGCCTGAAGATTGTATATATATATATATATATATATATATATATATATATATATATATATATATATATGTGTGTGTGTGTGTGTGTGTGTGTGTGTGTGTGT